TCTGTTTATATGTAAAATTTTTGTTCTATTCTGTCTCTCCTCTCCTTCTGGGATGCTTATTTGTTACACTTCTGTTTAATGTTTTTGTTTGCATTGTGTCCAATATACTTCTTAGGCTTTTTCTTTTGTAGTTTTCATTCTTTTTCTCTCTTACCTTCAATGAGATATTTTCTGTTAATTCATCTTTAGTTTCTAATCTTTTCCTTTTTTTTTTTTCCCCTGTCTGTCTTGGTTTCCCAGGCTAGCGTGCAGTGGCACTATCATTGCTCACTGCAACCTGAACTTCCTGGACTCAAGAGATTCTACCACTTGAGCCTCCTGAGTAGCTGGGACTCCAGGCATATGTCACATGCCTGGATAATTTTTAAGTTTTTTGCAGAGGTGGGGACTTGCCATGTTGTCTAGGCTGGTCTTGAACTTCTGGGCTCAAGTGATCTTCCCACCTTGGCCCCTACAAAGTGCTGGGATTACAAATGTGAGCCACTTTGCTAATCTTTTCTTATGGTATGTCCCATTTGCTATTAAACCTATCTAATGAGATTTTTAAAACAAGCTCTTAATTTTAGAATAGCTGTAGATTTATGGAAATGTTTCAAAGCTAGTATAGAGCATTCCTGTATACTCTTTACCCATTTCCCCTATTTTAACATTTTCTTTAGTATGGTACATTTGTTTCAACAAAGGAGTCAACATTGGTACAGGTATACCCCAGAGATATTGTGGGTTAGTTCTAGACCACTGAGATAAAGTAAGTATATAAAGTGAGTTGCATGAATTTTTTGGTTTCCTCATGCTTATGAATGTCATGTTTACATTATACCATGATCTATCAAATGTCCAATAATATGTGTTAAATGTACGTATCTTAATTTTATAACTGTATAGCAAAAAAATAAAAATGCTAACACATCATCTGAGCCTTTAATGAATCATAATCTTCTTGCTGGTGACAATATGACATCAAAGATCACTGATTCGGCCAGGCATGGTGGCTCATGTCTGTAATCCCAGCACTTTGGAAGGGTGAGGTGGGTGTATCACCTGAGGTCAGGACTTCAAGATCAGCTTGGCCAACATGGTGAAACCCCGTCTCTACGAAAATATAAAAATTAGCCAAGCATGGTAGTAAGTGCCTGTGTAATCTCAGTTACTCGGGAGGCTGAGGTGGGAGAATTGCTTGAACCTGGAAGGCAGAGGTTACAGTGAGCCGAGATCACACCATTGCACTCCATCCCGGGCAACAGAGTGAGACTCTGTCTCAAAAAACCCAAAAGATCACTGTTTAGAGATCACTGTAACAGATATAACAATAAAATGTTTAAAAAATTGTAACAGCAAGACGCTGTCTCTACAAAAAAATTAAAAGAAAGGAGGCTGAGGTGGGCAGATCTCTTGAGCCTGGGAGGTTGAGGCTACAGTGAGCTGTGATGCTCTCAGCCTAGGTGACAGAATGAGACCCTGTCTCAAAAAAAAAAAAAAAAAATAAGATAAGTAAATAAAGATGAAGAAATTTTGCAAGAATTACCAAAATATGATGCGGAGACATGAAGTAAGCACGTGTTGTTGGAAAAATGGTGCTGATAGACTTGCTCACTGCAAGGTTGCCACAAACCTTCAATTTGTACAAAATGCAGTATCTTTGAAGCACAATAAAGCAAAGCACAATAAAATGAGTTTATGTTAATGCTTTTAACTAAACTACACACTTCCTCTGTCCTCTGATTTTCTCTACATTGGTTGTTGGATTTTAGGGCTCGTGAGTCTTTTAGTGAGGTCTTAGGAAAGTTCGTTTCAGGGGCTAGAAGCAAATTTAATCTCTCATCTCAAACAGAAATCCTGTTTACAATAACCTTATCTGAATGTTACGCAAACTTTGCTTGAATTCTTGTAGAGTTGGGAGCATTCCCTTCTTTACACAAACATCACTAGTTAACAGACTGCCACAAGTTCAAGCTCTAGAATCAGGTAAGTTAGCTTTTTATTGCTTAAGCAATATTGTTGTCTTAATTCTACAGACGAGAAAACTGAGGCAGGGGGCAGTTAGGTAAGTTGCCAAGTGTTCTGCAGTTGGTCAGTGGTGGAAATGAGATTTGAACCTTGTTAGATTCTGTATTCTAGTCCCATTACACTTTTATGCTTTCCCTCCTATGTTGTTTACTCTGGTTTTCAAAGCTTCTTCAGCTCAACATGTCATTTTATTTGTACCAATTAACTGTGATCATGTAAAATTTCTTTTCTTCTACCATTGAGATATTTCAGAATCTTGACTCTATTATGGAGTATTGTTTAAAATCATTGAGTGTATTTAATTTTATTAACTTATTTTCCTAGTCTTCATCTTATCCAAGAGTATCATGGAAACTTTTTAACTGTCTTGGTAGGTAAGCTCCATGAAGACAGGGAGTTGTCTTTACAGATATCTCCTTAGTATCGAGACAGTGTGAGCACCTATGAGTAGCTCAATAAGTACCTGCTGATTGAATGAATGAATGAAAAAGGTACACAGCACTTTAATTACATCAATCAAGTAGTTTGGTTACTCTTTCCAAAAATACAAGATGTTTTGTTTTGTTTTTTAAATAGCTAGTCATTTAAATAGCTAATACATTCAAACAATTAAAAAGCTGTTCAGTAATAAAGGGGGCTATTGAGTGAACAAAGATTTCAAAGTTGGGATTCTGAGTGATGATTGTAGTCATGTCACCCTCAGCTTAGTTTGTTTCAGCATTTTGTTTTGATTTACAATAACTAGATAGTATTAAGTCCTACAGAGATGCGCTCGCAAACATTAACTGTTCTTTTTTCCTTAAACAGTTTATTCTGAGGTCTTTGGGTATTCTTTCATTAAACTAACCCTAAAGCTTGAAAGAGGAATAGGACATTTTTGTTTCAAAGGGAAACAACATTATCTACTATCTGATCACATATCTATTGTTGATTATGAAGACCGGACAAAACTCTGCTGACTGACAACAACTGCACCTTGCTACTCACAGTGGGATTCTCCAGCAGCAGCAGTGGACATCACCTAGGAGCAGTAGAGATGCTGAATCTTGGTACACATCTCACACATGTAGAATCAATTTGCATTTTAATAAGAATGCTTTGTAACTTAAATGTACATTAAACTTTGAGAAGTACTGTCAACTTTAGTTTGGAGTATGGTGGACCTGGGATTCTGAATTTCTACCAGGCTCCCAGATAATGCCGTTGTGGCTAGTCCATGAGCCACACTTGGAATAGGAAAGTGCTTGACATTTTATCACAGTTATAAAGTTAGGCAGTTACTTGCATTGACTCTCAAGTCGTGACAAGTATACATATCCAGCAAGTAGTTAGCTTGGCAGTTATTAAACACAATGCAGGCATGCTGTAATGCTGTACTTATTCCCATGTATAATATTTTAAAATATATATATATGGGCCTGAATTTTAAAAAAATATTCTGGAAAACCACATTTTTAAAATTCTTGACACATTTCAAGAAGTTAAAATATACCAGTCTGGGCAACATAGGGTAATCCCATCTCTACAAAAAAATAAAATTAACTGGGCCTGTTGGTACATCCCTGTAGCACTAACTAACTACTTGGAAGGCTGAGGCAGAAGGACCACTTGAGCCCAGGAGTTCAAGGCTGCGGAAGCTATGATTGCACCACTGCTGTCCAGCCTGGGTGGCAGAGCAAGACCCTGTTTCTACATTTAAAAAAAAAAAAAAAAAAAAAAGAAGTTCAAATATATGGAAAATTCCCAGATCTGCATAAAAATGAATTCTCCTGGCAGCACTAGCCAGTGTGTTTGAGTGTTTGCATTTTTAGTTTTCAAACTAGTTAAAAACATACTTCAGAAGAGAAACAATTATCCAGGACTCTGGAATCTCACATTTTGAAAGCCATTGGTTAAGGAAAAAGACTGCATTTGCTACTAACATATTGTTGACGTTAAACCCAGGGCTTAGCCTTTCTGAGCCTATTTTTTCTTCATCAGACAAATGAAGGGTTCTACAAAATAGTCTCTCCCTTCTGATTAATTCTTAACTTCTGTGTTTCTGTGACTTGCTGTGCAGCCCAATAGAACTTTATAGTTTCATTAAGTCCAATTTCTTGATTATAGAGATTGCTTCAACTTAGCAGCTTAGAGTCAAAGATTTGAGCCAGTTGATAAGGATGTTTCCTTGTGCAAGTAACAACCTACAGGTGAGGATCTGTGAAATGGAAGTGATACTAGTGCTTTTCCTGGAGGGTTGGTGTGAGGATTAAATGAGTTAATGCATGTAAAGCACCTAATCTTTATTGTTCAGTATATGTTAGCTGTTGTTTTTTTTACAGATGAGAAAACTGAGGTTGGAGAAGTAAAGTGATTTGTCTGAGGTTCAATATTTAGTTAATTATAGACCTGGATCTAGAAACAACATCTTCTGATTTCTGATAACAGTATTTTCTCTATTTAGGCTGCCTTGCTGAAATGCTCATCGTTTAAACTTCAAAATAAATTATTAAAGTTTTTTTCTGGTTAGATAGCTCCCCCTCTAGCCACACTGCTTTGTTGATAAGTTTTCTTAATTTTTCATTCAAATGATTTGTGATTTGAACAGTGTTTTAGATTTAAAAAACTTTTATAGTTTATTATATTCTATATGCTGGGAACATAGATGATCAATTTTTGAGTTTTTAAAAATCTCCTAGAGAAAGATTTTTGTATGTAAGTTGATTATGTCTATTAAATATTATTTTTCCTTTATGATTTTTGATTCTAAGATAAGATGGCTACTTGTACTGTTTCTGTGATTTTCATTTTGCAGATCAGTTTTGATGTTCAGAATTAAGATTAAAAGGAACAGTTTCTCTCATTGGTTATTTCTCTAATTAGATGTGAAATTAGCAGTAAAGTTGGTCACTGAGCAATTTCAATATGATGTTTGGATTTATAAATGTTATGATAAGCTCACTTTGATTTTAGTTCTTAAATATAACTTTATAAAACCTTTTCTTCTCTTGCAGTTGAAAACAATCCTCGAACAGGAAATCTTGGTGCACTAATTAAGGTCTTCCTTTCTAGAACCAAAGAACTAAAACTTTCAGCAGAATGTCAGAAGTAAGCTGGCTGATTAAACCATGTTTGCTTTGTATTTAGCAATGTGAATTTTAGTTTTCATTTATTGGTGGAAATGGAAGTTTTAGTTTAGTGCCTAAGTCATTGGGGTGAGATTATAGATTCCGGAATCTGATTTCAGCTTTTTAGACAATCTTTAGAAATACATTCTTTAAGAAGTTGAATAATGATGTAATTATAATTAAGAAGGTAATTTCCAGGTGGGGCACGGAGGCTCATGCCTGTAATCCCAGCACTTTGGGAGGTTGAGGCAGGCGGATCACCTGAGGTCAGGAGTTCAAGACCAGCCTGACCAACATGGAGAAACTCCATCTCTACTAAAAATACAGAATTAGCTGAGCGTGGTGGCACATCCCTATAATCCCAGCTACTTGGGAGGCTGAGGCAGGAGAATCGCTTGAACCGGGGAGGCGGAGGTTGCAGTGAGCCAAGATGGCGCCATTGCACTCCAGCCTGGGCAACAAGAGTGAAACTTGACAAAAAAAAAAAAAAAAAAAAAGTAATTTCCTCCCCATTACCACTGGTGCTGCTATCTAGTTTAAATGCTATCTAGTTTGAATGATGACTTAGTGAATTTTATTTCTTTCTACATCTGTTGCCTTTATTTCCTTCATATTCTTTCTGTCAGTGGAAGGTTAACTTTTTATACGCTCAAGCATTTTTCAAAACTGTGTTTGGATGTGTCTCTGAAAAGATTAAAAGATTTTGTGTTGTCTTGCTTCTAGACAAATTACATTGAATCCAATAAAGTTTTTCTTAGGAGATCATGGCCACAGATACAAATAAAATGTATTTTTCTGTGCTACTGGCAATGCCCCATTGAACATTTTGGTTACATGTTTGCATATGTTCTTTTTATGTTACAATAATTTAAAAAATATTTTTTTTTGTGGCTTTCTTCTCTTTGAATTGCCTGTATGTGGTATACCTACTAAGAACAAAGAACAGTCATTCCCACAGTCATCAGTAAAGATTTTTATTAGGTAAATTCATTATGTAAAATATATGGAATGAACTTTGAAGTAAAACATAATAGATATCACTGGGCAATGTAATAAATCATGAGCCATTAAAAGATGTGGACACTGTCCTAATGTTACCGATAGGATGGACAAAATGGTTGACAAATCAGGAAGAAATCATGAACTAGAAATAAACCAGTGATGCTTATGGTTAAATATTGATTCTTGTTTGATTTTGGTCTTTCCTTTCTAGCCATATCTTCATTTGGCAGACACACAATGCTTTGTTTATTATTTGCTGTTTGCTGAAAGTGTTCATCTGTGAAATGTCAGAGGAGGAATTACAACTTCATTTTACTTATGAAGAAAAATCTCCTGGCAATTACAGTAAGTATTGTGTTTGAAGATGTTCTGGATATAACATGTGTAACATTGTAAGGATAAAAATTTCAGGAATAAAAGTATAATTTTGAAAATTACAGTTATCCTTATAATTTTCATTTTAAAATGAACTTACACTGTCATTTTTCCTTTTTCTGTATTTAAATGAGTCAAGACTCTCAGAGTTTTTTTCTTTTCTTTTTAAATAAGAAAGCCTGTGGAGTTGAGGCTTTCATTTTTTTGATTTTTATGCACGTGGATGAAGAAGAAAGTGATATAAAACTCATAAATATTTATTTCTTTCAGAAAACAAAAGTATCAGTTTTAAATATCATTGCCAAGTCAATATATTATTAAGGGCGCCAACTAGTCAGAATTACAGATTTTATGCTAAAGTTTACTTTCATGGGGCACATCAATAGCTTCTGGGTCTGAGTGTCTTTGGGACTAATTTATCAGAAGTAATATTTTCAAGGGCAATTTATGATGCCTAAGTGTGTCATCTTTTTCTGAAGATACAGGGAAAGATTACCCTTCATGCTATCTTTCCTTTGTGAGAGCAAGGCAGTGTTGCCCCCTGGTTTTTTGAGTTCTGTTTTCAAAATAGATCTCTACCCTCATCAGCCTGACAGCATCACATGTGTGATTCAAGGTCAAATGTTACCATCTCTTGTGGGGACAGGTATTGCGAGAGAACTTTGTGATGTGTATACTTTTATTGGAGGTCTGTGTGCTATGTGGATTTCATGCATATATTGATCACACTTTTATATACCTAGGAGTAATTTTTCACTGTGGTTTCAGCTGTGGTTGCTAAATACCTGTTTTAAAATGTCAAAGTCAAATATTGACAAAGGAAACAAACGTATAAATGAGTTACTGTTCATCCAGGTCAACATCACAATGTACTGATTTTTCAGTATGTCTGTGTCTATGTGGACTATTTCTTAAATTGTTTTATAGATTTTTTTTTTTTTTTTAGGCAGAGTTTCACTCTGTCACCCAGGCTGGAGTGCAGCGGCATGATCTCAGCTCACTGCAACCTCTGCCTCCTGGGTTCAAGCAATTCTTCTGTCTCAGCCTCCTGAGTAGCTGGGACTGCAGGCACACACCACCACACCTGGCTAATTTTTGTATTTTTAGTAGAGATGGGGTTTCATCATGTTGGCCAGGCTGGTCTTGAACTCCTGACCTTAGGTAATCCACCCTCCTTAGGTCCCAAAGTGCTGGGATTACAGGTGTGAGCCAAAGCACCTAGCCTAGAATTTTTTAAAACAATATTATGAGAGGTAGAAAAGATTCTGTGGAAAGTCAACCTTTTGTGCACTCTAGCATTTCTTAAAACTATTTTTAGATGGCAAAAATCTTGTATCATTTAAATACGTTAAGGGATTATGTTACATTTTGAGCGAATGAAAAGACATGGTACAACAAAACAATAGTTTACAATACTTTCAACTCAAGTAGCAGAGAGACCATGTATACTTATCTCTACTCCCTCTGAGACCTCTTCTACCTGATGGTAGAAGAATTTTCAACACATACCATTGAGCAAATTAGGATAGTCATTTCATCCTTTTTTAGGCTCCTTATGGCCTCTTTCAAGATCAAGAAACAGTTTTGGAGAAATAGAATATCAATTTTTGTTTTACTGCAATCTTTTTCTTCATTCTTATACTCAGTGTATTTCCAAATTAGAGAAGGACATTCTTCTTGACTCACACTTTCAAAATACGATTTTACCATCTTCTAACATTTTAACATCTTTTCCGTGGCTGGCCACCTTCATAGCCATTTTGCAGGTTCATGTCCAAGGAGGCAATTGTCTTTCATTTCTTCCAGGTCTAAATCTCACTAAGTTCTGCAAGTTTTGAGGAAACTGAAAGGTGGCAAATATCACAGGGCAGGAAACCACTGCCTCATTGCAATGCTGTGTACAAGGCAAGCAGAAAATTTAGCAGGCAGGAGCTCTTTTCTTTGGTCAGAAGTTTGTAGACTGAATGAAATTTGCTGCAGTTTACATGTGCCCTGTCCCCAAATATGCAGATAGATGAGCAAACTCTAGTTTGTCCTTGAGCAAAATATCAGCAATGTTTTGTTTTATGTTTTCTTTTTATGTGGAAATGTTTTTTCCCCTCTACTGATACTGGATAAATACAGGTTGAGTGTATTTAAGTTCAAGTTTCATCCTTGAGAATGTGCTGAATTAAAAATATCACAGTTAAGTTTGTTTTATAAGTGTTCTAAAGTTTCCAGCAGGTGACGTAATTAGCTGGTTGCAGGGGAGCGAAATCATATGTTCCACCTTTTTTGAAGGTTATTGTATTAGGGTTCTCTAGAGGGACAGAACTAATAGGATAGATGTATCTATGAAGGGGGGTTTATTAAGGAATATTGGCTCGCACGATCACAAGGTGAAGTCCCACAATAGGCTGTGTGCAAGCTGAGGAGCAAGGAAGCCAGTCCAAGTTCCAAAACCTCAAAAGTAGGGCTGACAGTGCACCCTTCAGTCTGTGGCTGGCAAACCACTGGTGTAGTCCAAGAGTCCAAAAACTGAAGAACTTGCAGTCCAATGTTTGAGGGCAAGAAGCATCCACCATGGGAGATGAAAGATAAACGCTGGGAGCCTCAGCAAATCTGCTCCTTCCACCTTCTTCTGCCTGCTTTATTCCTGTTACACTGGCAGCTGATGAGATGGTGCCCACCCAGGTTGAGGGTGGGTCTGCCTTCCCCAGCCCACTGACTCAAATGTTAATCTCCTTTGGCAGTACCCTCCCAGGCATACCCAGGAACAATACATCCTTCAGTCCAATGAAATGGACACTCAATATTAACCATCACAGTATCACAGTTACGATGCTACATTTCATAGTTAAAATATTGATAACTTTATGATATTCTTGAATAAGCAACCATATCAATTTTAGCAGTTTTATTTGCTGTCATCTTTTATTTCCCCTTCTGTTCCAGAAGACCATTTCATGGAAAATCACTTACTGTTTTGCCCAGTTTTGAGTTAGTATGAATTACTGCCTCATTAACTTTGGGGGATGGGGGGAAGGGGATCAATACTAAAATTCTCTTTGATGCTGTTAAAAAAATATTAAATTTCAGATACTATACCATGTTATAACTTAGTAAGTAAAGAATAAGTTCTTATAAAGGGTGAATAAAATGACAATCAGCATGTGTATATATATGTTTTCCTTTTTTTTTCTTTTAAAGCCCAAGGCAGGTATAGGGGGGTGGATGGGTGTGTGTGTGTGTGTGTGTGTGTGCGCGCGTGTGTGTCTGTCTGTTTTTTCCCTTTCCCATTTTGTAACTGTGAAAGCCCCAGGTGTTTAGGGGCTGCTCCATGAGTATTTCCCTTGGATGAAATTTTTACCTTGTCTTCTCAGAGGAAACAACTCTCCAGTTTCATTGTAGATCAGACATTCCTTAGATTCTGTGCTTTTTACTCTGGAATGATTCCTGCTGAACTTTTGAGATTCTACTCTAAAAAGGATAGGCAGCCATT